AAAAAAAAAAAAAAAAACTTATAATTGTCTACATGGAAACTAAAATGTCCCTCAAAATTTAAGATCAGTTTAAGAATAAAGATCTCCCCGTTAGGAAAAAAACTTGACAATATTGAGAACAGAGATAACTTACAGGCACAAGGTAACCTTTTGAATGCCACATCAAAATTAACATCAACCCGCTGTTCAGAGGACGTTGAATCCACATACAACTGCTGTACGATATCTATCGACAAAAAACTAATTGTCTGCGTTAAAAGCAGAAGAATAATAATGAACGAAGTGACTAGAGTTACTGAAAAAAATCTTCATCTTAACTTGAAGAGTCCAGCGAGTTCTATTTGGGCAAAAAAAATTCGTCCCTAAGTGTTCCAAACAACAAAAAAAAACAGATGTTCGATTATAGAAACAAAAAACAAAGAAACATACCTGTTCCACCAGTGATTGTTCTTACTCGAAAATCTTCCAACGGTTTAGTGTAGGCGTCAAAATTCTTGATGCCGGCAAGGATAGACATCCAGTCAGATGCGTTATCAAATATTACTAATGCAACTATCTTCCAGTTTATATGTTCTGAAAAAATAGAGAAAAATAAAAAATGTATTAATTAGAAGGCCAACAGAGAGACGACTCGAACGATATGTATTCAATCAATCAATAGTCATGAAGAGCTGAAAAGTGAATCAGTTAAGCATCTGTTATCGAGCGAAACAAACCAAAACAGAAAAAAACTAATTGCAACAACACTCAAAATTGATAGACCATATACAGGGGTCACTGTTTTTATCTGAAAATTGAACATAACTATTCCTCTAGCTCATTTTCAGAGCTTTAGCCACACTTAAAGGTAATAAAAATGCAGTGAAAAAAATAAAAAAGTATAATAAATTAAGTACAATTTGTCGTCGGTTCCTTCCCCACTCCAAAAAAACCTCCTTTCTTGAACGATGGAATACAAAATGCGCTTACAAACTGCTCATTTTAGAGTGTCTTTTTGCTGTAAAGATGAATTATTGAAGACAGTATTGGGATTATTTTTTTTACGGTTTTATCTGCTTCAACCAGTAAAAATAAGCGAATAAACAAATAAAAATTAAACTTTTAAAGGACGCAGAGGTTCATTCAAAAAAACCTTACTAAAATTTTTAAAACTCAAATTTTGTCAGCATCGTTCGACCACAGGAATAAATGTGGATGACTGTGAAGTAAGAATGTGGCATTTAATTGTACAAGTGCTGATTTCTCAACGTACCTTTGCATAGACAACTATTATTTAAACATGTAAAACTGTTAACACAACAACTGACTACAACACAGTTCTGCACCTACCAGAACTGTACTATGAAGTTTTAAGATGGAGTATCAATACTGACAGTAAAAGTAAGCGGCATCACTTGAAGTTCAGAAATCAGTTCGCACTAAGCATAATATACACAACTCAGACAAAAACCTCATAAAGCAGCACGTTTTTTGTTAAACTGTTACTCGGGATGGACAAGGTAATTGGCAGGGCCTTAAAAAATCAGTAGTTTCAATCGGAAAATTCAAAAACAGTCAAAATATTTAAACAACCAATATAAGTTTCTTTTCCCCTCTGATTTTGTAGCAGACACCATCCAATACTGTACCCAACAATATGCCGGCTATCCGTTAAGTCTCTTGTTTAAGTGACAAATTACTGAACAATCAACAACTATCAACTCTCCTTCTCCCCAAATCCCTGCAACTTCAATTGCTCAATTTATGCATTTTTTGTCTACAAAAAACTACACTGGGTCATGCCATTGCGCTGCAGAGTACAAAATATGCCGCGAGTGCACCAAGGTTATCGGGATTTGAAGTGAAAAACTGGTGAGTCATCGAGGGTTGCCAGCGATTTGTTTTCACGTTTCTTATTTAGTAAATTCTGAATAGATTGACCTACTGCTGCCCAGAATAATCATCTCGACATTCCAGCAGTCTGCGTGTCTGTGTGAAGGTATCCGTGTATTTCAGTACCTTTGTCTGTGTAGCTGTCGTCGTCATCGTCATAAATTAACACTGTTGCTTGGTTACAGACACCACAGCAATAATCTTAGTCAAACAGAAATTTTCAACACTGTAATCAGTCTAACAAATGCATCATCATATTTAAAATTATACTGCAAAGAACTAAATTAAACAATGCTAAAAATCAACTAATTTTTTTCACTAAGTCATTTGTTCCAAAAGTTCTTGAAAGAAAAAAAACCATAAAATTTTCATCGACAAGCTTATAAATAAATAGAAAACACAAGGGAAAAATGATGTACATAGTTAAGTCAGTTTCTTCTTCAGATTTAAAGAAGCAAACTTAATAGTTTACTATTCTATTTAATAAACCTAGTCAAGCAAAATGTAGGAAAAAAGATATTGCTTCCAAATCCATAGCAGTTGACAACAAATTAGCAATACTTAAAAAACTTCATGAACTATACAGAATACTATGAAATACTTGTATTTTATAGTAACAATTGACACCGGCAAATTGTTAAACAAAATGTGACAGATCCTACTCGTTAACTTTCGATAATACCAGAATTCCATGCAGATTCTTTGCCACTGAACTATCGACATCGCATAGTAAATTTTACCCCTTGTTACTTCAGACAAAATAAATTTCTTTTTTGTTAACCGTAAAACACAGAATCCAAAATTACAAACCAGATAATAAAATAAACTGGGCAAAAGTAACTTCCGCTCATGAACACTGTTTTCAAATAACTCTAATCATCTTGGTTGCTCTGCTCTGCGAGAAATTTAAATGAAACCTTTTGCGGCCCTACAAAGATAGATATACCCCGCGGAACTTCACTAAAATCTGAAGGAATGCACAACAGATACAGATGAGAGCAAAAGCCATTTGGTGTCGATGAAAAGCAGCATATTATATCCGCAAGCATTATCGCTACTGCGGAAAGAACTGAAGACGGTACAGACTGAGAATTATCAAAATAATTTCAGATATCAAAAGAACAAAAAGTTCTTTTTGTGTCAAAGAAAGCTCAAAGCCCAGCCAGAAGTTGTTCAGGAGCATTTTAATCCAATCTTTTACAGGGTTTAGAAGTTTTCCGAAAAGCGAAAAATAACGGGTTCTGAAAAGCTAAAATGCTATTTTAGGAAATAGCTACCGAAGGCATGCCAGACACTGTCTTTTCAGATGAGACTTTCCTACACCAGCAAAGCTTTGGTGAGATACAACAAAACATGTGTGACGTTTGAAGATCATAATTCACTTTTTATTGTTTTTTTTAAAGAAGATTTTGTTGCTCACGATGCGTAGAACGCCGCCACCAAAATGTCAAACAAACTTACTACTCTTACGAATTCTAAGGCTGCACTGAGCCGAACGTTGATAATTACACTCACACAGTTCTAGAGAAGCACAAAAAACCAATCATTGATAGCAACTTTGAAAAGGTTTAATGTTCACAACGGTAACTAGTCATTTCAAATGTGAAATCTAAAGAAAGAATAAACTAAAGCAATTGTAAAATACACGGTGCAAACGTCAAAATTTTTGTACTGCGCTGTCACCTTTAAAATCAAAAAGTGAATATTTCAAAGTAAGTTTCCTTGGTAAACAAGTGGCTAAAACAAAAGACGTTTCACCTAAATCTATAAATCAACTCTCTTAGATTGAACTTCGCTAAGCTTAAAAAACCCTTTTATTACTTTCGGTGTCTTAAGCTTGCCCCATTCTATATCGTTGAGATCATCGAAAATGACAAAATACAAGGCGAAAAAGATATTTAAGAAGTAATAATATTGCTTTTCAAGTAGCCTAAAAAGCCAGTCACTGAAATCGCTTCAGCTCGCCTCATCTAAATACAACGGATAAGATAGTCTTCTGAAAATGAAAATGCGAGTGATATGTTTTTCAACCTAACTTCCTAGCTCTGTTTACATAACTCCATCAAAACAATGCTCCTAGCTCTCTACCCAAGATATAACTGATAAAACTGTCTCAGGCTAGATAATTATGCACTTGATGTTCAGTAATCCTACAAGAGAGCAAAACGTCAACAGGGAAGTGACGAAAACCTGATCCCCAGAATGAAAACAAAATCAAAAATTCTTTCTCGCAAAAATGGATGAAAGTTTGAGCGCTAACAAATCACTAAAATATCAGTGTAAACTTTCCAGGTACGATACT